TTGTACTGAAAATAGCTTCCTCTCATTTTCAGAGAAATGGAATGCACGCATCACAGACCTACGGAAGCAAGTTGAAGAGCTGTTTGAAAGAAAGTACGGTATGTCTGCAGTCCTTTCAGGTCCTGCCTCAGACCAGCCAGGCAGGGCTGCCAGGAATTAGGCCTTCCTTACACACCGGTCTCTTATAAGGTCGTATTAGAAACCTGAGCTTCTAGATCCCCATATCCTGGCACTCGATCTGGAGACCAGGCTGGCCTTGAACTCAGAGATGCACCTGCCTCTGCCTCCTGAGTGCTGGGATTAAAGGTGTGTACCACCACTTCCCAGTAACTGTTTTTTTTTTTTAAATTTAAAATACTTTTTTTTTTTAAAAAAAAAAAAAAAAAGATTTTATTTATTATGTATACAGTCTTCTTCCCGCATGCCAGCAGAGGGCACCAGATCTCAAGGTGGTGGTGAGCCAACATGTGGTTGTCGGGAATTGAACTCAGGACCTCTGGAAGAACAGTCAGTGCTCTTAACCGCTGAGCCATCTCTCCAGCCCCTCCAGAAACCTTTGGAAAAAAAAAATTATTTTTATATTAGTGTTGTTGGTGTTTGGAGTGTGTCTATTTTCTGTACCCTCTATATACCTGATGCAGAGATGGTTATAAGTTGCCATGTGCATCCTGGGAACTGAACCTCTGCAAAATCAGCAAATACTTTTAACCCCTAAGCCATCCCTTCAGCCACCCGACATACATAGATTTATTAAATGTGGCTGGGAACTTAAATGAAAAGTCTAGAGTTACAATACAATTATTTTGCAAGGTGCTTCATATTTCCCTTTATTTGCTTTATGATTCCTTCCCTGTTCCTCCCACATTATGTTTAGGCCTTACTTTGTGCTTTTCATTCACTGGTTTCAAAGCAGGAAACATAGACACAGTTTGTGTAGAAACCGTGAGGTACAGCAGGCAGGTCATGGCTAGGCCAGGGTGTCATGTCTTCATGTTCCTGGCTTCCTCTCCTGAGTAGGCATGAGGACTACAGGTGTGTCCTGAAGATCTGGTAAGATAGCACCGTCCTCGCAGGGTGCTGGCTGGTAGATGGTTCCTGCTTGCTCTCTGTGTTCTCATGTTTTAATGAGCACCATTCTGAGCTAGACTACTTTAGTATGGAGCAGCACCCTGACCCTGAGGTCCTCAGCCATTTAAACCACAAGGTCTTACCATGTAGAGCAGGCTGGCATGGAACTTACAGAGATCCCCCTGCCTCCTGAGTGGTGCAATCTCCACCATGCCCACCAAGCTTCTTTTGTATATGTGTGCCAACTGCTATGAAATTATCATAACAATCTTTATGTTTTATAAATTGAAAGCAACTTGGGGTGGTAATTGGCTGCGTAGAAGGAGGAATTCTCACTGTGTTCTATAGACGTGGTATTTGGGCCAGGGGATCAGTGAGTTCATGCTTTCTCTCCATATATGATATACTTGAAACTTTAATGTAAATGCTAGTGTTTATTGGGTTCACTTATGCACAGCACACCAGCTGATGGTGATGCATTTGGCGACCATGTCCTCCAGGCTGTGGACACATCTATGACTGTTGTATCATTTTACCCTTGAGTAAATATATGGCTGTTAATCATAAATTATGCAGATCAAAAATGTCTTCTTTTCTGTTACTTAGAGAAATCCTTTTAGAAGTTTAGTGGTAAATAACAAATGCTAGTGTTCTAAAACCTCGGCAGTTCCATTTATAACATCCACACAAACCACTGTGGTTTTGGCTTAAACAAACTTAGGAAGACAAAGCAGCATTGCATATTTGGTTGACATTCTGTTGTGGAGTTTCCTCTGAGCCTTGTCTTGTAATGATGGTCCCTTTCTCTTTTCATCCTAAAGCTCAAGCTATAAAAGCCAAAGGTCCGGTGACGATCCCATACCCTCTTTTCCAGTCCCATGTTGAAGATCTTTATGTAGAAGGGCTTCCTGAAGGGATTCCTTTTAGAAGGCCATCAACATACGGCATTCCTCGCCTTGAGAGGATATTACTGGCCAAGGAGAGGATCCGCTTTGTGATTAAGAAGTAAGACACCTGCACTTGTTTGGGGCTCTTGTCTGTTTTGGTTGGTGCTTTTTTTTTTTTTTTTTTTTTTTTTGGTTTGGTTTTTTTTTTTTTGTTTGTGTTTTTTTTTTTTTTTTTTTTTTTTTTTTAAATGCTGGCAAATACTCATTAATCACAGGCTGGAATGATTGTATCTCTTTATGTTGCACTCTTCCTTTTTCCTGTGTTTGTATGTGCACGTTTGTAGCACGTATTTTTACGTGTGTGTGTGTGTGTGTGTGTGTGTGTGTGTGTGTGTGTGCTAGTGTTAGTATCGTGGTGGATCCGTTCTTCCACCTTATTCTTTTTAGACAGGTCTCTTAGTCAAACCCAGGGTTCCTGATTCAGCTTGTCTGTCTAGCCTGTACTGCTCTAGGGATTATGTCTCTGCTATCTGAGGCTGGAATTACAAGTGGGCTACCATCCCTTCCTGACGTTTGTTGAGTGCTGAGGATCTGAGCTCTGGTCCTCTTGCTTTTGGGGAAAGGGCTTTATTGAGCCATCTGCCCAGCAGCCTGGCTTCCACCTTGTAATGTGTTTGTACAAGTGTGTTCAGGTCAGACTGGGATTGGCTTTGAATCATGAGCTCCTCCTGCCCACCCAGTAGGCCTGCGGTCATCACTCTTCCCTCACTGTTTTCACAATGGGAAAGTTTAGCCACAGCATCTGTGTGTTGCTTTTAAGTCTGGAAAACTGAAAGCATACATGTAAGCATAAGGTTGAAAATTAAAATAAGCAAAGCTGGAAGGAAGAGTGAAAAGGAAAATGAGGGATATCCTTCACACTGACTAGAAAAGTGTAGCGAGGATGGCTTCCTTCATGTCTGCTAAGCAAGTGCTGTCATCAGAAGAATGCGTCTGGGCCTCTTTTGTTTTTTTACATTTCTTTTTCTGTGTGTATGTTTGCATGTGCATGCATGTACACGTGGAGGTCAGAGAAAGTCAGGAGTTGGTTCTCTTTCTGCTGGGTGCATTTTCATGATGAACCCCAGGTTTCATACTTGGTGGTATCATGCTTATGTCAGCTTGCTGACCCCACTTCCATATCTCTTGACTAAGTTTACAGAGTAAAGTTTCAAGATCTAGGAGGGCATTTATAGTGATAGCAGGAAATAAAGATGGAGGTAGCTGCCTCTATCCTGAAACATTGTGCACACTTTGAAGGCATAGGTCCAGGAAACTAAAATACTGTAGCAGACATGCACTGAAAATGAGAGGGCTGGAGGGTTCCAAAAAATGTGTGCCAGCACATGGGAAGGAAGTCGTGTCTTTAGCATAGATAGACCATTCAAGAGGCAGCGGCAAGAGAGTCTTTATGAGTTTGAAGCCATTCTAGTCTACATAGTGAGTTCCAGTAGACCTTGTGAGAAAAATGAAACAGTCAAAGTTTGTGACAATTGTTTTACAAGATGGAAAAAAGTAACGGAGTATTTGCTTTCTTCAGTGGTTGGTGTGAGTGAGAGGGTCACAGATCACAGGGGTCAGGGTCACTTTCCACAGTACTGGGTGGTGTGGGTAAGCGGTCACAGTTCACAGGGGGTTGGTGTCCTGAGTATCCAGAAAAGGCTTACCTGCTCTGCCTGTCTGTTCATAGAATTAGCAGGCTCTCTATGTCACAGCCTACCATCCTTCAGGGTTGTATTCACTGACTGTGACCTGGCTTCCCTCACTTCCTGATGCCTTGGGTTGTTCAAATAGTCCTCCTGCTCTCCACTCCAGTAAAAAGCTCTATGGGGCTGTGTGGAGTTGGGTTCATGTGTTTTATGGGTTGTTTGGTTGTTCAGAAAAATACAGCATATCTCTTGCCCTGCATATACAAATGTTAAGTATATGCAGAGCTTTAAAAACAAAGTTTGTACCTGTTCGGGAGAATATATTTTTGTAATATAAAGTTTAAGGAGTAAATTGCTATAAAAAATGTAAAATATTTGTAGCAAGGTCCCTCTTACTGTGAGCACAGAGGCTCCATGGAGCATTTTCTGAGATAGTTTGCCCTTAACTGCTCTGTAGAAGCCTTGTGAAGTTAGGTCGAGCTGTGCTGGAGTACAGTCTTGATGATTGAGTGTTGTACGCGTGCTGTTTGCCTCCTTGCTAGATACTGCCTGGCAAGTTCTCACCATTGAACTCTTTCCTTTTAGACACGAGCTTCTGAACTCTACACGGGAAGACTTACAGCTTGATAAGCCAGCATCAGGAGGTGGGTCTGCAGCTCCCAGTTAGTCAAGCCTTTAGGCGGGTGTGTGTGTGTGTGTGTGTGTGTGTGTGTGTGTGTGTGTGTGTGTGTGTGTGTCCTGCAGGGCAGTGTGGCCCTCCTGTGGGTTGCTGTCTTCATAAATAAGTAGGCCTTTGGCTGGCAGCTGAGTCTTTACAGGGCATGCACTCCAGAACCCAAGTCCCCCATAGAAGAGTAATACTTTTTCTGTTGATAACCACGGAAGATGGGTAGATTGTGCCCTAACGACAGAGCTCTAAAAACGTCTCTGTTGCTGTGAAAAACACTGACCAATACCGAATTGGGGAGGAGAGGGATTATTTGGTTTTACAGGTTACAGCCCATCATGAGGGAAGCCAACCAAGCACTCCTCTATGGGCTTAATAAATTCATCTTGTCATTCCATAACAGGTAACTTTAAAGAAATGTTAGAATCCTGGCAGCTGGAAATTACCTGACCAAAGTCCAGGCTCTTTCTTGGTAGGCAGTTTTGATGGCTCAATGCCTGATCCTTAGTGGGTGCTAACTTTGAGATATTGCTCTCATTATAGTGTTTTACTCTTTCTAGAACTTTTGTTTCATTAATCCACTTGCTCACAGGCGTATACACGTAAGGTTAATTCTGTAAAAAATAAATAAATAAAAACAAAATAAAAATCCCATTACTTTTGTTCTGCTATCTGAGATGGTGTTGTGCATAGGAGGTGTCTGTTAAAACACAAGTACTTGGGCTGGAGAGATGGCTCAGAGGTTAAGAGCACCAACTGTTCTTCCAGAGGACCTGAGTTCAATTCCCAGCAACCACATGGTGGCTCACAACCATCCGTTATGAGATCTGGTGCCCTCTTCTGGTGTGCAGATACACATGGAAGCAGAATTTTGTATATATAATAAATAAATAAAATCTTTAAAAAAAAATATTCCAGTACTTGGGAGTTCCAGGCCAGCCAGGGCTAATGAGATACTGTCTCGGAAATTAGCTAATTAATAAATTAGCCAAAAAGTGTATTGTAAAGTCTGTATTTGTCAATTGGATAATGGGTCATCAGTTCTATCTAATTCAGAACATAGATAATTATGTATGAGGTCATGCCTTCATGTGTTTTTAAAGGAAAGAGGTTATAGTTTGTCTTGTGTTCCTCTGGATGGAGTGGGAGTTGCCCTATGAAGATTAATAAGTATTTCCCAAAGTTTTAGATATAACTTCTGTCAAAAAAAGATAGGGAGAAAAAATTAACTTAAGATGTTCTTGTAACATTTCATAACCCGAGTAAGTAAGAGCTCTTCAGCTGAGAAATCTTATGCTTCTTCCCTCACAGTAAAGGAAGAGTGGTATGCACGGATCACTAAACTGAGGAAGATGGTAGACCAGCTTTTCTGTAAGAAATTTGGTAAGTATATTTTTCCCCCAAATTGAACATTACAGAGCAAATTTTAAGAAATTACGTATGTGAGTTTGTGTTGTGACTTTGTGTGTCGGTGGGTGGGTGCCCACAGAAGGCTGAAGAGGGTGTCAGATCTCCTAGAACTGGAGTTCCAGGCAGTTGTGGGTCATCTAATTTTTTGAACACAGGTCCCCTGGAAGAACAGCAGCAAGCTCTGAGCTGCTGAGCCATCTCTCCAGCCACAAATGGTTTTTGTTGTGTTTTTTAAGAGTTGTTTCATCTTAGGAGTGAATTGAGATGATTTTGACTTAACTGTGTGTTTTTCCTATTGCTTTTGACAAAGGTTAATTATAAGAAGTTTTAAAATTATGTAGAAGACAGCAGGGTGGTGATGGCCTCCGCCATGGATCACTGTAGAGGCAGAGGCAGAGGCAGGCGGATCTCTGAATTTGAGAACAGCCAGCGCTATACAGAGAAACCCTGTGTTGAAAACCAACCCTACCCCACCTCGTCCCTCAAAAAAACTATAAAAGAAAATAGAATAAACCCTCAGTGTTTTCTTTTTTTCGTTCATTTTTCTTTTTGGCCTGGGATGGATTTGGCCTTGAATACCCTAAGCAAGTGCTTTATCTCATACTGACAGATGTCAAGCAATTCCTTTATTGTGAGCCACACCCCAGCCCTGAGTAATTGCTTAATACAGTTGCATTTATGCAGTGTAGCTATTTGACCATTTGGGTTCATTTCTCTTTTGGATCCCTTGTCATTGTGTTACTATGAAATGAGAAGGGCATTAGGGCCAGGACATGTATTGGTCCACTAGTCTCCTAAAAAGTCACTATGATTGTGTTTTAAGTTATCTTGGTCTGTGCTATGTGCTATTTATTTACTCTTATTTTTGTTGTTTCAAGACAAAGTCTCGCTATACAGATGACATGTAGATCAGGCTGGCCAAAACTCCACCTGCACTTGCCTCTGAGTACTGAGACTAGAGGCATAATTGACAGTGTTGGGTTCATGTGGTGCTGGGAATGGATCCCAGAGCTTTGCATACTAGGCAAGCACTCTCCCCCATCCCCAGATCTCCTTTTTGTTTGTTAGGTGATGTATTTCTTTTGTTTTTTATTGTTGTTTTGATACAACATATAGCCTTTGCTGGCCTCTGTATTCCAGGCTGGCCTTAAACTAAAGCCACCATGTTTTGCTTTTTAGTCTTACGCATTTGGACACATGTATTTGGTTTGTTAACATTGCAGTGCCTTAAAAAAGAAAGAAAGAAATCTCATGTATGCCTACACATGTGTCTGTTCACCATTGGACAGTCCAGTGTCCATGGAGGCCAGAAGAGGGTTTGAATGCTCTGGAGCTGGAGTTGCAGATGGTTGTGAGTTGCCATGTGGGTGCTGGCAGCCTCACCCAGGTTTTCTGCAAAGGCAGCTTGTGTTCTTACCCACTGAACCATCTCTCCAGCCCCCAAAACATCCTTTGTTACTCACTGTTCCTGCATTAGGAACAAATCCAGTTTCTTTTTGGAAAGGAAATTTTATTTTTTTTTACTACAAATTGTAGAGTTTCCCTGGCTGTCTACAGTGAGTTGGGCCTTAGTAATATCTTCTTCCATCTGGGTGTAAATCAGTTAGGGAACAGTAATGAATCCGCCCTTTGTGTCCAATCGGTACTTTCCTGGACATTTAGCAATCGAGAGCAAGTGATGGCCGTTGTTTATTGTTGGTCATGTCACCATTATGTCATTGGGTTTGTGTGTAGGAGAGACATGGGGTTCTGAGTGTTTTGTACCCTAAAAGTATCCTACTGGTGTTGGCTACTGTCAACTTTACCCAAGAAGTGGTGAAGGAGGAGAGAGGAAGGGAAAGGAGGAGTGAAGGGTGGGAGACGGCTGGGCTTGGGCAAGCATAACTAAGGAGCCAGGCTTGGGCTGGGATGTGGCTCTTTGTAAGGTGTTTGCATGGCATGCCTGAGCCCTGGTACTATAAAATAATCTTAGAAAACTTTTAAAGAGAGAAAATAGATTATTAAGAGGGTTGATGAGCCGGGTGTGGTGGCGCACGCATTTAATCCCAGCACTGGGGAGGCAGAGGCAGGCGGATCTCTGTGAGTTCGAGGCCAGCCTGGTCTACAGAGCGGATGCCAGGACAGGCTCCAAAGCTACACAGAGAAACCCTGTCTTGAAACCGCCCCCCCCCCAAAAAAAAAGAGGGTTGATGATGTTGTTTAGTTGGTTGAATGCTTGCTTAGTGTAGATGAAACCCAGAATTTTATTCTCAGTGACCACCATACAAAAAAGATCTTGACAGGGCTCAGTGGATAGCATTTTTGGTGTATCTGGAAATGTGGCTGCTGGGAGCTGATGGGAGATTGGCAGCCTTTGGTGTCATTTGTAAGGAGGGAACTCGATCTCACTGAAATCATTCATGCGCTTGCTATACTTTCACCAGCGTTCACTGCCTGTTACTGGTGCCTGCGCATCCCTGTGCCCTCCTGCACAGTGCCCACAGCTCAGGAGGGGAGGTGACCCAGCCCAGATCCATCTTGGGAGCACCGATTCCTGTCAGGCAATGGGCAGGACTTGTGTGTGGGACTTGTGTGTGTGGCTTGTTGAAGGTTTTAGGCTAGGCAGGGGTGGAGACTGGAGGGTGACAACAGACAGTGGGAGAGCCCGCTGACCAGTAGGCAGTGAGTTTCCTTCGGCCTTGGCCCTTTTCTTTCCTTGGTTCCTCTGTTGAGACAGGCTCTCACTGTGTGTCCCAGGCTGGTCTCGTAGCAGTCTCTCTGCCTCTCTGAGTGCTGAGAGTAAAGGCCTTTGCCACCTTTTGTGTCTTAACTGCTTTTGGTTCAAGTATGATTTTATTTCATAAAAAGCCTGTTAAAATTAGGATTTTGTCTATCTAGCAGATGAGACAGGTGCAGATCTGAGCTGTAGCCCTTTTCTGATCCTCTTGGGCACATTCCTTTTACTGCTCTGGCGGTAATGACCTCGTATGTGGTTTTCTAACCCTAACCCTAGTACGAAGGAAGAATTAGGACAGAATGAATTGGGGCGATTCATTCAGTTGTTTTAAAGTGCTTCCCTCAAAGGTGTGAGGCCCAGTGCTTGAACTCCAGAACCCATGGAAAAGAAAAGTGGACATGGTGGTGTGGCCTTCGTAATCTCAACAGTGAGGAGGTACAAACAGGAGGGTCCCTGGAGCTTGCTGGCCAGCCAGCCCAGCCTACATGGAAGTCTTCAGGCTCATCAGTAAGAGAGCAAGCCTGTCTCAAAGACACAGGTCCTTTGTTCTGTACATGTATGCACATGTGCACAAATGCATACTCGCACACTTGGACGGAGACAGAGACCTTAAATGTAAAAGGGAAAAAAGTCTATCCAAGAAGAGAGAAACTCAGGCTAATCCTATGTCCTGGTGCTAGGTTATGCAGAGGTCACCTACAGGATCTAGGTGCCATCTGGCTGTTGGCTTGGTGTTAGTTGTTGAATATTTCGTTTTAAAGTTGTTTGGATGTAGTTTCAGATAGAGATTAGAAAAATGCATTTAACCCCCTCCTCTCCCACACAGCCACTCCCCTCCCCCAGGCTATCCTGGAAATCCACCTCCCCCAGCCTCAGCCTCCGAGTTTTGGGATTACAGGCTCACATGGCTTACTCTTTGTTGTGTTTTAGTTGCATTTTTGGAACTTTACACTTGTGGGTGTTTGTTGTGTGTGACTTCAGCCTGAATCTCCTGACTTGCTCTTAATTTCTACAGCTGAGGCCTTGGGGAGCACTGAAGCCAAGGCTGTACCATACCAAAAATTTGAGGCCCATCCCAATGACCTCTATGTGGAAGGACTTCCAGAAAACATTCCTTTCCGAAGCCCCTCGTGGTATGGAATCCCAAGACTGGAAAAAATCATTCAAGTGGGCAATCGAATTAAATTTGTTATCAAAAGGTAAGATCTGTGGAACAGATTAAATTTTTTTTTTTTTTTTTTTGCCAAGTGGTGGTGGCACATGCCTTTAATCCCAGCACTTGGGAGGCAGAGGCAGGTGGATCACTGTGAGTTCAAGGCCAGCCTGGTCTACAGAGGGAGTGCCAGGACAGCCAGGTCTGTTACACACAGAGAAACCCTGTCTCAAAAAAAAAAAAAAAAAAAATTCCCCTGTGACATTTGAAGATGGGTCTTGTCACCTGAGTGGCCCTTCCTGTATAACTGTAAATATTTCGTTTACATGAGCTCATTAAGCAAGTGTATTTATTTTCATACTGTGGTGTGCTGAATGGGGCCCAAGAACA